CTTAAGACTCCTAAAGCACATGAAGTAAAAATCAAGAATCAATAAATGGGATGGATTCAAATTAAAAAACTTCTTCTCAGCAAAGGCAACAATTAATAATGTGAGGAGAGAGCCTACAGATTGGGAGAAAATCTTTATCACATGCACTTCTGATAAAGCATTAATCTCTAGGCCATATAAAGAACTCAAAAAACTTAACACCAAAAAACCAAATAACCCAATCAATAAATGGGCTAAGGAACTGAACAGACACTTCATAGAAGAAAAAATACAATTGATCAATAGATATATGAAAAAGTGTTCAATATCTAGCAATTAGAGAAATGCAAATCTAAACTACTCTAAGATTTCATCTCACTCCTGTTAGAATGATGAGGATGTGGTGAAAAAGGTACACTCATACATTGCTGGTGGGACTGCAAATTGGTGCAACCACTATGGAAAGCAGTATGGAGACTCCTCAGAAAACTAGAAATGAAAACTACCATTTGACCCAGCTATTCTACTCCTTGGTTTATACCCAAAGGACTTAAAATCAGCATACTATAGTGACGCAGCCACATCAATGTTTATAGCAGGCTCAATTCACAATAGGTGTCCCTCAACAGATGAATGGATGAAGAAAATGTGGTACATATACTTAATGGAATACTACTCAGCTTTAAAGAAGAGTAAAATTATGGCATTTGCCAGTAAATAGTTGGAGTTGGAGAATATCATGCTAGTGAAATAAGCCAATCCCACAAAACCAAAGGCCAAATATTTTCTCTAATATGTGGATACTAATTCACAATAAGGCAGGGGGCATTAGGGAAGAATAGCATTACCTTAGATTAGGTAGAGGGAAGTGATGGGAGGGGAGGGAAAGGGATGTGGGAATAGGAAAGATAGTAGAATGAAACAGACATTATTACTGTATGTATTTATGTTACTACATGACCAATATGATTCTGCAATATGTACACTCAGAAAAATGAGAAATTCTATCCCATCTATGTATGATATATCAAAGTGCATAAATGCATTCTACTGTCATGTGTAACTAATTAAAGCAATTAAAAAAATAAAAAGAGATGCAAATGAACTTTTATGAGAGGACTCAAGAAGAAGAGGCTAATTGTACCTACACAGGGAGCTAGGGAGGGCTTCTGAAGAGGAAAGGGAAATTCATTTGAGAACTCCTAAGTAATATTTCTTAGAAAGTGTGTTACCATATTAATCAAGAATACCTACAATTTATAGGTTATGCCTTTCTAAATACCAAATATTCTAACACATAGTATTATTTATATTTTCATAATATCCTATTGAAATGGAAACAAGTAGATTCTATTTTCTTTGATGAGAACAAAGAACCAAAATACTTTTAAGTGTTGGTGTTGTGGTTCAGTGGTAAAGTGCTTGGTTGGCATGTGTGAGTCCCTAGGTTCAATCCCCAGCACCAAAAATAAGATAAAATAAAATACAATAAAATAAAGAACTTTTAAAATATAATAGATCATTATACTAAAAAATTGATATTATAAATTTGACTTTTCACAAAGTCATATATATGAGTATGTTTATGTACATATTCATGCACACGTATTCATATATATATACACATGCATATATGTATATATATTGTGTATGACAGAGAAACTGACTAGATTTGTCATTATCAAAGCTAGCTTTGGTTTTTATAAAGACAGCTCTTAGGATTGTAGATGTAGTTTAGTGATTAAATTTTAGGATCTTTTTAATTTTTTTGTAATTATAGGTGGACAGAATGCCTTTGTTTATTTTTATGTGGTGCTAAGGACCCATCCCTGTCCCTTACACATGCTAGGCAAGAACACTGCCACTGAGCTACAGCCTCAGCCCAAATTCTAGGATCTTAAAGTCAATTCTCAAACAAAGTTAATGTTTAGAAAGCTAGAACAATGTATAAATATTCATTTCTATCTGTCTGTTTCATTCTTTAGCATTTATGTGAAACACTTTCAATAAGTCCCAACTTTAGTAAATGCTCCTTGGATTATAGGCTTCTTTGATACTTTACTTACATATGATTTAGTTCCTTTTGACATTTTCCTCCAAGAGTTCCAACTTAAAATCTGGAACTAACTCAGTAATGAAATTTAATATTTAGTTTTTTAATGTATTTGCTGTAAAGCCTAGAGTTCTTTTTCCTTATGGAATTGAACTAGCAGACTGGGCAAGGTATGAAGCTGAGCCAGTGTTCTACAGAGAAAAGTATAAATGGACAACTGGATTCAAGTGGTTCAACCCAAAGTACAAAGCACTATATTTCCCCCCACTCCCAGTGCTGTGGATTGCACTCAGAGCACTGTGCATGTAGGCAAGTGCTGTACCGCCAAGCTATACCCACAGCATAAGAATGCTGTAGAAAATCATAGAATTTGCAGGGAAATGGATGGCATTAGAGCAGATTATGCTAAGTGAAGCTAGCCAATCCCTAAAAAACAAATGCCAAATGTCTTCTTTGATATAAGGAGAGTAACTAAGAACAGAGTAGGGATGAAGAGCATGAGAAGAAGATTAACATTTAACAGGGATGAGAGGTGGGAGGGAAAGGGAGAGAGAAGGGAAATTGCTTGGAAATGGAAGGAGACCCTCAGGGTTATACAGTGGAGGGGGTAGAGAGAGAGGAGGGGAGGGGAGGGGAGAGGTGGGGAGGGGGGATGGTGGAGGATGGGAAAGGCAGCGGAGCACAACAGACACTAGTATGGCAATATGTAAATCAATGGATGTGTAACTGATGTGATTCTGCAATCTGTGTATGGGGTGAAGGTGGGAGTTCATAACCCACTTGAATCAAAGTGTGGAATATGATATGTCAAGAAATTTGTAATGTTTTGAACAACCAACAATAAAAAAATTAAAAAAAAAGAATGCTGTAGATATATACTCCTGAGCATTATTCCTGTATCTTCCCAGAATTTCCAATGTTCATCTCAAATTAAAAAATAAATATGACATTAGAGTCCTAATTATCCCCATTTATGGCAACTATGCCTTCCCATTCTCAATTATTTGGCATGGGAAACTTGAAATAAGTGTTGATCCTGCCTTCTTCCTTGCGTTCTGGTAGATAAGCATTCACAAAGATCTGGTTCTAATGTATTTAATACTGGGGTTGAAAACTGGCAGGTCAAAGACTGACACACATCTCTTTATGTATGTGTGTTATGTATTGGGCCAGAACAGTTTTTAAAAAATTGAATCAGAATGAATTCAACTGAATTATGCACCCTTTGGGTGGGCATGCTCTTTCTAGGAAGTTGCCTCACCCCACTCCATTTCTCAGTTTTCTTCTTCTGTTTCTTTTACAAACATTAGTTGAATTGTTGAAGAATGGATTCAAATATTTCTTGGAGGAAAATAAAAACCAATATTGGCAGCATTGGGATATTCTTTGATTTGGATTTTCTAATAATTTGATATTAAGCAGTGAGGGTGATAATGATTTTTTTTCCCTGAAAATAGGATGAAATTGTAAATTCTTATACCCTGCATTTCCAGTTAAGATTTAAATCACAGAAACTCTCCAAGGGACCTCAGTTTCTTTGGGGAAGTCATTTTTTTTTTTTTTTGTAAAGTAGGACTAATTACTACGAAAAAAAGTGGTACAGAGGCAAGGAGGGAACAGAATGTGGGAGAGCTTTTCTCTTTCCTTAGTTCAGTGAGAATGTTGGTTTCTTTGGAAAACAAGTTTTTGTGGTTTAACCTCTGGGTGTTTTCAGTTCATGTTCTCAGGTTGCTATCTCCCCACTTTCTGGCCAAATCCCCAGTTTTTATGATTGATAATACCATTTATAAGACCTCTGCACTGTGGCTCTTCCATTCCTTATATGTCAATCATTTGAGTTGAATAAACAGTTTGGTTTGAGAAAGGCAAGACTTGCCAACTTTGTAAACTCACATTTTGTCCCCTTTCACCCAAAAGTCAGAGACAGAAGGCATCAAAACATCTGTATGAAAAAATTCAGTAAAAATATTGATTTAAAATATCCATATTCCATTGATTTCTTTTTAAAAATCTCAGCCAAATGCATGTGTTTCTGTTGCTGAGGTCTGGTTGAATTCAAATTAGTACCACTAGAAACTTAGAGCCACAAGTACTAGAAATCAACAAACCATTTATTATGAAAGTGATCTTTTATACACACGTAAGTTTGAATAGTTAGGAAAAATCAACGTCAATATCTCTGATTCAAAATGTGATTTGGAAGTGTTAATTTAGATATAAAATTCTGGGAATATGTATCAAACTTATTTTGCTTGTTTTTATTTGTATCTGAGAGTATATTAAAACTTATGTTTAAGAAATTCTAAAAGAGCTATTTGAATAAGTTTCAAGTAAAAATTCTATGTAAAAGCCAGATGTGGTGGCACATGCCTGTAATTCCAGCAGCTTGGGAGGCTGAGGCAGGAGGATTGCAAGTTCCAGGCCAGCCTCAGCAATTAGTAAGGATCTAAGCAACTTATTGAGATCCTATCTCAAAACAAACAAACAAACAAACAAACAATCAAACAAACAAAGTAAAGGAAAGCCCTATATAATGGTATAATAAATAAGTGCCTTTTTTTCCCTTTAGTAGCACATGCAGTTGATGACATCTTTCATTTAGATAAAATATGGTGAGTTTAAATATTTCATGGAATTAAATAAGTTGGGATAATTTAAAAAATGTTTTTAGTTGTAGATGGACACAACACCTTTGCTAATTTATTTATGTGTTGCCAAGAATTGAACCCAGTACCTCACATGTGCTAGGCAAGTGCTCTATCACTGAACCACAACCCCAGCCCAAGATGGGATAATTTAAGGTGGGATCTAGCATTTAATAAAAGCAAAATAAATATGAGCAATCATAACTGATCTAAGAGACAATGACATCATCTTTGAATAATTTTAATAATGACACGTCTTAATTATGATACAGTTTTATAGGTACTGTTCTGGCTGTAAGGATGAGCCATTCCTTTCTACTTACATTATAGTCACATTTGAAGAAACTGATGGAACAGCTCGTAAATTGGCTTCATCACAGTCAAGCTGTAGACCTCCGCAAAAACAATGCCCAGGCACAGAACCAAGCACTGAACAAAGAGGAAGTGGTAAGGGGTGATGAAAGTGGGGGACCAGGAAGAGGAGGGCAATGAAAAGAATACTTAGTACAAGAGTATGTCATGCCTTACCTGAGCAATGCTTTAAATTAAGGTTCCAAAGTTGACTTTTAATTTATCTTTAAAAGGATGCTAGAACATTAGCATTTGGAAACATACACACTTACCAACCCATCCATTTTTTTAAAAATAGAATAATGTTCTTTTCCATTTATTGCAAAATGAATGAAATCATGTTCCTATGTCACCCAAGGAAAATGTGATATATTGTGTTGGGGTTTGATGATTGTGGAAGGTTCTATTTAAGAAGGAAGTACTTATTTATAGCATCATCAAAACTTTTATAGGACTAAGTCACTTTTAACCAACAAGGAAGAGGAGAATTAAACACTAAATGATTAGTGTGGTTAGATTTTTTTTTCCTGGAAAATTCAGGAGTTCTTCAATAGATTTTTGTTTTAAACAATGAAATTTTTAAAATATATTTTTTAGTTGTAGTTGGACACAATACCTTTATTTTTATTTATTTATTTTATATGGTGCTGAGGACTGAACCCAGCGCCTTGCTGGCGAGCACTCTATGGCTGAGCCACAACCCCAGCCCCTCCCTTTTCAATAGATTTTTAAAAGAGAATGCTTCTTTGGCCTGTGTAGAGATGATGGATCTCTAAATCTTCATTTATGTGAGTGGACATTTTTTTTTTCTGCACAGTCATCCTATTTTTACTCTTTTTGGTGTTGGAATAAGAAAGAATGAGATACACCCTTTTGGCCATCTGTGGGGCTTGAGGCTTAAGAATGTGATTCAATGTATCTGAAGTCTATTAGAGCCTCATAACGATGTTTTTATATAGTATGAAAGGATTATTGTTTAGTGTAATAAATTAGTCTGATTCCTGCCGTGATAGGGAATGGACAATGACTGAGAGCAATGAGGAATACTTCCCAAATACATTTACTTCTAGAGCCTTAAGCTTTTTAGCAGTTGCTATGGACTCAAATATCTATCATGATCAGGCAAAGTAGTGTCTGGATGTCCAAATGGGTTGATTTCTCCTGTTGCCAACTTACAATAGGAATGAGTGCAGCCAAATCTACCAACATTTGCAAAGAAGCCAGAAATACAATGTTTTATATATAATTACCCATTTAAAAATAATAGTTAATTTAAAACATCCTAGGAAAAACAAAACTTTCTATGAGAAATTTTCTGCTTGCAAATTTCCAGTTTCTGATCTTTGCAGTAAAGCTTCCAGAGAGTAGGCAAGTGTCTCAAATATGAAGCAGAGGCTCCTGTGAAGGATTAGCGAGCACAGCTGGCTACAGGCTTTGAACTTGGAAAGTGCCTGTTTGCTCAGGTACGTGTGATGACAGGTGTTTTTCATCTCCTCCCGAGTAACTGCAGAGACTCTTTCCAGGGTTACAGGTGTTTAGGATCAAAACCTAGTTTCACTGATTATGTATCTGCTGAAAATTCTTATTAAACAGCTTTACAGTTGGAGTACCCATTTTGGCCAGGGATGGCTGTCTAAGTTAAATCCTATCTACCATGTGAGAGCATGTTTATGTTGTGAGGGTGGATGGTGAAGGCTGGGGAGGAAGATGCAAGTCCTGAGAAGGAGTGAATAGAAGATCAAAAAAGAAGGCAATGAAACCAGCATTCATTGTAGTGTTTTTTCCACATATATATAGACTGAATTAAGATAATACATATCTTAAGTACAGGGTTATCTGTAATAGGGAAAAATGAAAAAAAAAACATATAAATATTCAATGACAAAAGAATAAGTAAATTATGTCACTTAAAAATAACATTACATATATTATTTCCCAAGAGCTTATAATAACATGAATAGCTAATTATACTAAAATGCTAATTGAAAATATGATAAAACTGATTGGTACAGGAAATTATTTGAAATTTTATTTCAACAAAGTTAAAAAAAAAAAGGCAAGTAATGTACCAGCAAATGATGATAATAGCCTCTGAGTGGTAAAAATTATGGTTGGTAAAAAATGTTTTCCAAATCTTTCAAATTTAAACTTTAGACAGTGTATTGGTTAATCATAGATATTATTATTTTCCATGATATTGATCTTGAGGAGTGATTTTTAAAATGTGGATTCCTCACATTCTTTCATCTAGCCAAAATGATTATAAGCTATCTTCAGTTTAATTTCCAGTAAGTCCCTATAATAATCTGATTTAAAGAAAGTGGCACAATTAGGAACCTTAATGTAAGTTTCACCCCCAGATATTATTCGTCACTTTTCATTTCATTTTATTTACCATGTTTGAATCTGAAAAAGATATTTAATTATTAATTGCAATTCCCCAAATTGTCTTAAGAGGGCTATAATGAAAAATTATGTGTTTATATTATATTTATTGTGTACAGGAGTTTAGGATTCTTCTGTAATTGTACTTGTGACAAATTTTCTTCCAGAGTGCAAGATCAGGTAAAAACTTATTTCTCTTGCTGACTTGGTCTGTTTTTTCCCCTTTGTTTTTCCTTTACAAATGAGACTATGCGAATTATATAACCTGTTATTTTTCCTCTTTGACTTAATGACTACAATATTCAGAACTAAGCTTTGTGTGTGGTTGCTGAGCTTTCTCAGTGAGGATTTAGCTATACTTTAATTGTAAGTTGCTGAAAATTTTCTTGGGAATAACATGAGATATTAAAAGATTCAATTAAAATTTAAGAAATGAAAACAAAATAATAAAGGGAAAAAATGCATTTTAAGATAACACAGCTTAATTTGTCATTATTACTTTTTGGCATAATATTAGTTGTTAACTCTTTTCTTTGCTAAAATCTCTTTAGCTGGGTTAGTGGCACATTCCCAGCAATTGGGAGGCTGAAGCTGCAAGATGGCAAGTTTGAAGCCTACTGCATCAATTTTGTGAGGTTCTAAATAATTTAGCAAGATCTTCTCTCAAAGGACTTGTGGTGTTGCTTAGTGGTAAAATCATCCCTGGGTTCAATCTCCAGAACAAAACACACACACGAAAAAGCTTATAGCTTTTTTGTAGGGGAGGTGGTGGGTACTGGGGATTGAACCCAGGTGCACTGGACAACTGAGCCACATTGAAGGGTTATGGAAAATAATATTCCTACGATAGCCCCCAGGAAAAAAACAGAAAGACAGTGTGTCTTAGGAGGATGGAGGGAAATTAGCCAAACATTACACCTCTTCCAGTAAATCCTTTCCCAGTAACAATGGGAAAAAGCAAACATTCACCCCTTCCAAACTACAGTGGGTTCTGCAGGGAGGAGGAGGATACTGAAAGGCTGGGCCCTAAACTTTGACCTTCCCCTATTGCCAATAAGTCCTGAAGGAAGGCACAGTAAACTCTGGGAAATAATGAATCCCAGAGGAAGAAGAAAAGCAGTGGGTGGGATCTGAGCTCCTGTCTCCTTCCACTAACAGTGAGTTTCAAACTTGTGACAACTGCCTTCTGAGTTAAAGTTTTAACCTGCGCAACCAGTTCCCTGACTGTTCCATCTGCACGTGCACATTCACAGTTTCCAATGACTAATTCAACCTCATTGTAGACTATAAAACTCAGACTCCTTCTGTAACCCGTGGGCTATTTTTCTACCCAGAAAATGAGAAAATCTGATTGATTGACTCCGCTGCCAATAAAGGAAAGCTTCTTGATCCCGTTGAAGTCTGCTTCTGTCCCGGTTATTTGTGCCTTTATAATGGTGCTGAAACCGTGTTGGTTATTTTTGCTTACATACATCCTTAGCCCTATTTTGTATTTTATTTAGAGACAGAGTCTCACTGAGTTGCTTAGCCCCTCGATTTTGCTGAGGCTGGTTTTAAACTCGAGATCCTCCTGTCTCAGCCTCCCAAGCTGCTGGGATTACAGGTGTGCACCACCCTGCCCTGCGCTTTTAGCTTTTTAATGATGAAATTATTTGGTCTCCATCCTCTTGGAGGCAGGTTCAGGGATGCTAAGGTAGATTGATGAGTAACACAGGAGATTACCAGGGGAAGGTTATCTCCTTTAATTGGGGACTGTTAGTAGTTTATCTCATTTGGGTAGTGAAGACAAAAAAATATTGAAAATTTGAAAATCTAGGCTTTATAATTTGTGGTAGACCATAAGGGATTCCCCTCCTAATGCTTGTTGTCTGCTCCCAATGCTGGAGATTGAACCAGGGGGATGCTCTACTATCAAGCAACACCCTAGCCCTTTTTATTTTTATTTCATTTTGAGTCTGGCCAAGTTGCTGAGGCTGGTTTTGAACTTTAGATCCTCCTGCTTCAGCCTCCCGAGTAGCTGGGATTAAGAAAATGTGCCACCTGGTTCAACCCTCCTACTTAATCAATATTTTGAAAAGCTGAGGTCAAAATTGCAAACCTAAGGCACAGACCTTCATTTGCATAATTTATTAAAATAGAAAAAATTATTTAAAAGGAATTATTTTCATGATATGAAGCGTTATAGAATCAATCCTCAAGTTTATAGCCTTCTACATCCTCTCTGGTGTTTTTGTGAGTTTTTGAAATATTGACTAAACACAGGTTATAATTAATAGGTTTTCATAGCTCTGAAATACAGCTTAGACACCAGAAGATTTTTCAATTGCAGCCATTAAAATCAAACAGCTTCTTTGCTTTTCTATTTTCTGTTTCCTTTGCATCAGGGTTTATAGTGATGGTGAAAGGGAACTTACATAAAATAGCAACCCTGACTGACATTAATTTTACTCACAATACCTGACATGATTGATGACTTTCATCCTTAAGATTCCATGAGTTTATTTTAAAACAGAATTTCCAAATTTAGGATGCATCCCTAATAAAGTTTGAAACTGGAAAATTACAAATAACCTTTTCATAAAATTATACATAGAATCCAACTTTTAAAAGTTTCGTGTCTTATAAAGAATTTACGGAAAAGGAGGCTCAATTACTATGATTACTTACAGCATTCAGATGTTTTTGTCTCAAAGGAATATGAGGAGGTCATTTCATTGTGGTTGCCAAAATATTTGTCGAATTGCAGAGACCATCCATTGTTGTCTCCTGGGGGCAGGTAGGGAGGAAAGAGCAGAAAATTAAGAATAGAACAAAACAGATATATTCTGGTGTGCTGGGGGAAAATAGGTCCTTTAAAATAAGCTGGCGAGTCTCAAACTTAATGAGATAAGCATCATCTAGAAACCTACCAATGTGGATTTCTGGATCCCCTATGGGGTGCTGGGAGGGGCTCCTGGTGTCTGTTTCTAACAAGCTCTGTAGTGATTCTGCCACAAGTAATACTTGGGCCATACTTGAACAAGCAGAATTTTAGGCATACCAGAATATGGCACACTGCTCTTAGCATTTTAATTGTTTCTCTAAATCTTCTTTAATCATTAAAACCCACATTGGAGATAAATAAACATGGGTGGGTGGCCATGATGATCATATTTAAAAATCAAAGAAAGCAATTGCCCAAAGCAATGGGGCCAACTAGTCATGGACTGAAACTTCTGAAGCTATGAGCTAAAATGTTATGTTTCCTCTTTTTAAGTTGATTTATCTCAGGTATTTGTTATAATAACCGAAAGCTAACTAACAGGAAGCTACAAGGCGAGGGGAAGAAGATAATTTTTTAAAGAATTTTATGATCTTTTAATTGTTTTTCAACATAAGGGACAATGAAACTAATCATGTGATGAAATGGAGATGTAGGAGCAGCTTCTATGAAGCTCTTTCTGTATGGAACAAATCTTTATCTTCCTGGTGGGGATTTGAATGTGATCCTCTGTAGAGCTTTAAAATTATTTTCCAAATGCCATGACTTTTTTTTTTTTTTTTTAGTATTGGGGATTGAAACTTAAATATAAAACCACATCCTCAGCACCATCCCCCTTCCTTTTTTAAACAGATTTTGAAACAGGATCTCACTAAGTTGCTTAGGGTCTCACTAAGTTGCTAAAGCTGGCTTTGAACTTGCAATCCTCCTGCCTTGGCCATCCAAGCTGCTAAACTGCTGTGATTACAGGTGTGTAACACAGTGCGTGGCTGCTATGACTCTTTAAGAATGCCCAAACATGTAAAGACAGACAGACAGATAGATAGAGATCAATAGATAGAGGTAGATAGATAAATAGATAGATATTGATTCTACAAATTTGTCCTATTTCTGTAATTATTAAATCTGGCATTGCTTTTAGAAATTATTTCTCTTATGTACAGTACAGTAGAGTTATTGGCCTTGTACCCATCCAGTTTTCTCCTTCTTTTTTTTTTTTGGTGCAGTTTTCAAGGAAAATTATAGAACATTCTGGAAATGCATTATCCTGAGATAGGGAGGAATTGCCTGAAACAGCCCAGTCCTTTTTCCTATCCTTGTAGGGAGTGTTGACACCTTGAGTTAGGCAGTAACTTCCTGGACAGTCAAGGCTTTGTTCCTCCCTTCCCTAGAAATAGGATGTCTTCAAAGCTTTTCCAAGGGAGTCAGGTTGCCCCTGAGATACATAACTAGAGCAGTTGCCTCCTAGGGTCCCTCAGCCCTGGTACATGTAGGGCAGGTGTAGTCAGCAATTCATACTGCGGGCAGCTTTCTTTCCCAGCTCACTATGAACCTCAGGCGTCTTTTGTCCCTTGCTATGTAGAAAATTTGCTTCATGTAACCTGTGTAGATGTTTTACCTTCTTGGACTCAGACAAGTTGGTAACTAGCATATAGGAGTCTGCTTTGAATCATTTTTGTATAATTTATACCTGAGACTTGAATTCAGATATTATAACCTATTTAGTTGCATGGATTTGATAAAATTGACTTCCTGGTTCCTATGGTTTCTACTCTGATCAGCAGATTTTCAGGTTATGTCTCTAGTCCACACCTTTTTCTACTTTCTAACACATACACAGTTTACCTCAGGTACCTCAAACCTAACACTTCCAGAATGGAACTCATTATCTTTTCCCATATAAACTTGTTACTCCATATATTATCTGGATTTGTGAATAGTCCCCACAATCTATCAAACCGCACAAATGAGAAAGGTTAAATTTACCAGAGTTTGCTTATAAAGTGCATGATTTCCCTCTTTTTTGCAGACTATTTTCCTATTTTTCCACTGCTCATTCAGACCTCCATGAAAATTTCCTTTGGGAAAGTGAAGGAATCTTAACATAAATGCTATCTACACTTGTAAAATCAAATGTCTTGTTAGCAGTCCTACTAAAAGTGAAAAACTAGAAGATAGATTATTTAAACAGTGCAATTATAACATTCCCCTTTCTTTTGCATTCCTCATGGGTTTCAAAACTTCTTTACTACAGAAGATCTCAGGTTGAACAAAAGCAGCAAAGTAGTATGATATCTCAATTCAGAGGGAAATGATGAATGGACCTCAAGTTTACCAACCATAGACTTCAGCGTGGGTCTCCTGCAGGCCACCAGTTATGAGGTGAATAAAGGACAACAACCAAGAAAAGAGCAAATACCAGCCACTGAGTATCCAGGAACCAGTTCCAGGTGCCTTATCTGACTCATAACATAAGTGGATGATATCATAGGTTGAGAATCAGGAGGAGGGAAGAGGACATTTGAAAGACTGAGCATAGATAGCTAAATTTAGACTAACTTCTTGAGACTATGGTGGATTTTCTGGATTAGTTCTTCTTCCATTCTACCTTCAAGTTAACAATGGTTTCTTCTTTGGAAATTAGTAACTTAAATCTATATTTTCCAGATCCCAAGCAACGAGGGTTCTTATAATTGATAAACCTCTACCAGTTGGAGGCAGTCACTTGAGACTTGAAGTTTGTAAAAGCTAACTTCCCCCAGTACCTATTGGTAATGGGGGTAGTTACTGCCTCCTGTGTAGGCTCAGGGCTTCAGCTCCATAGTGCACAGATTTAACAAAAAAATGGTGGATGCAATGTGCAAAAAGAGGGAAATCACGCAATTTATAAGCACATTCTGGTAAATTTCAACTTGATGTTGAACTTGCAATCACAGTGAGGTGATCCTCATCTCAGATTCCTGCTTCTGCAGACTTTAGAATGATGCTATCAATATGTCATTCCCTGGTTGAAATCCTTTTTTTTCTTAACCTCTCCTCCAACCTAGGGTGTTCTCTTTTTTGTTCCTTCTGGAAGGGGTTTCAGATAACAGACTTTCAAGAAACATTGTGTGGGTTATCTAACCTGATTGGTAGGCCTTAGATAACGGCAATCCTGTTACCATTAGAAAATGGGACTTTCTGGGGAAAGGGACCCTGTACAATATCCTCTTTGCTTCCTTGCACCAGGCTAAAGGTCAAGTGTTCTCAGACAAGCTGTTTTTGTTCATAGGTCAAGTGGCCCCAGCCTGCGTGCCCCATCCCCTTTCTGGGGCAGAGCTTCTTCCCCAGATCCCCGCAGTGCTGTCCATTCTGTGTGCCCTTTGTGCAGTGACAGTCTCAGTTAAGCTTCTCTAATCCGTGGTGGCAATAGAGGTGTGTTGCTCTCTCCTGCCCATTCATGCACCTCCAGGATTTTAAAGTTCTTAGATTTTTAATATAATTTCTATTTCTGACTCTGAAAAAAAAAGGAAATGGGACACAGTGACAAAAACAGCCATTTAAATGATTTAAATGATCACTTATAGCTTCCTGGAAAGATGTAAGGTTTAGATTTTGGCAAAGTGGTTGCTGTGATAAATCATTAGAATAAAAATAAGAAATTGGAAGGGTTGTAAGATGGGATAGCTAAGGAGACAGCTCTGGAGAGATTAAAGAAAGAAAATGATAAGCTCAGGTTTTTACATTATCAGCTTCAAAAAATTGAGAGAACCAGGGAACTTCCAAGATTACTCTAAGGTTATCTTTTATCTCCCATGGCCTTAGGTCAGGACTCAAGCAGCCACAAATCACATAGAATCTGATCCAAGGAGTCACTAAGTTACACTATAAATTGAATTCATGTTTTGCCATATTTTAAAAGTGAGCATTAGAGGATTGATTTAGAAGAAACCCTGTGGATTTTATTATTGGTGGATTGTGTATTCAGTTGGATTTGAGAACTCTAAATCCTGGTTCCTCATAACCTCCCTTGTCAGCAGAAGCAGCTCACTTTTGCTGTCTGATGAGTTTAGATGGGGTTTGTTCGAAAACAACCTAATTCCTTTATTTGAAGTAATAACTCACCAACTTTCCTCAGGTCCTTTCATTATTACATGTTTCTTTGCTTCTTAATCAATTATAAGCAGACTCAGATCCCAGAACACCCCAGAAGATAACAACAAGTTGCACTTGATTTTTCTATTATATATATGCAGAAACCCAAGGAGTTTGTGAGGGACTGGTTTATTGGCGTGCTAGACCAGGTGGCAGGACTATAACCCTATATCAGGCACAACTAATTCACATCTCAGAGCTTCTGGATTCAGTGTGATGGCTCAAGACTAATTTGCTGGATTGGAGACTAAAATATGAACCCAATGTTGGTGCTGTAGTTTGGTCTTAAATATCCCACAAAGGCTTGATCTCTAGCTTGGCAATATTGGGAGGTGGTGGGATGTTAGAGAGGTGGGGCCTAGTGGGAGGAAGTTGGGGAGTTGGAGGTGTGCCATTGGAAGAGATGGTGGGACCCTGGCCCCTTCCCCTCTCTCTCACTTCCCATCCATGAAGTGAGTGATTTCACACTGCCATGGACTCCCTACTATGGTGTTCTGCTTTGCCACAGGCCCAAAAGCAACAGGGCCAACTAATCATGTACCGAAAGCTCCCAAACTGTGAGCCTAAATAACAACGCTTTTCTTTTCATAAGTTGATTATGGGATGCTGACTAAAACAGTTGGCTTGGAACAAATGAAGTTAGAGGCAAATGCATGTGCATACTGAGGAACTGAGTGGGTAGACTATACAGGACATGGCCATTGAATTGTACACCTACCACGGGCGTCTGGAGGAATATACTACAGATCAACTCACCTGGCCTCTATTTGACTCCCCGCCATTAGTGTGTGTCTGTGGAGCAGAGACTGAAAGGCTTAAACATTAAGTCCCAAGTTTTCAATTCTGCAAATATTTTAATGAAACTGACACA